GAGAGAGAGAGAGAGAGAGAGAGAGAGAGAGAGAGAGAGAGAGAGAGAGCACTGACAGTGCTGCCAGTCTGAAGACTCTGAGGTTCTGAATTGAACTGCAAAGTTCGAACTTTTTAAGTTATATATGAAGTTATGAACTTGAATTACTAAATCCAAAGTTCAAAGTTCAAAGTTAATCATACTTCTTTTTTTTAATTCTCTGTTTCTTTAGTCTTGTGCCTCCTTCGCAGTGTTTGCAACTCTGCATGTCTGCTAGTTAAATGTGCTGGTTGATTTGCTGCAAGACACATGCTCTGCTGCCTGAACAACAGAGTGCAAAGCAGATAAGTGCCTGCCAACACCCCCACCCAACCTCCCCCCAACCCCCGTTTTTTTATTTTTTTTGTTTTCTTTGTTTTTGGGACCGGACGTTTTTGCACCCCGGGTACCGGTCCGGACTGTCCGGTGTCTGGTGATGTCCGGTGTCAGGGATGTCCGGATCACCGGACAGTCCGGACAGGTCCAGACACTGGTCCGGAAGACAATCCGGAAGTGTCCAGTGTCCAGGTCCGGGGTTACCTTGGTTTCAGTGACTAGATGAGGCATTGACAGAAGCTGATAATTCTAGGAAAAGATGAAATAGGCAGGGTTTTCAAAGAGGCGGCAAGAATCCAGCAGCCTAGCTCAGTTGGTTAGGCATGCAAGTGGCATTCAGGAGGTTGTGGGTTCAAGCCCCATGACCGCCTGCGGCGGACTTAGATAGTCCTCTGGATACCCCTCATTGGTATTAGCAAGGTCTAGACCAACACGGTTGTGAGTGCGAGCGCGAGTGGGTTGTGTGAGGTGTGTGGGAGAGTGTTGGCCATAGCCCCTGCTGCTACTCGATGAGGGGTTGGGGGGGGGGAGGGGAGGAAAGGCGCAGCTACTGGCAAAATGCTTGGTCTTTGCGTTAGCCAGACCCCCACCCGCAGCCCCACCCCATCTCTGACTACCGCTGTTGGGGCGGGGGGCAACACTATTTACCTCATCTGTGAGGCCCTATGCTTGCATGGGTCCCCTCTATATAGTCTTACGACTAGTAGTGGTAGGAAGGCAGTGAAAGCAAAAGCAATTTGAGAGAAAAACATAGTGCAGTTTTATTGGGAAAAAAAAAGAAGGAAAAAAAGAGGGGGCAAGTTCAAGGGCCATTGAGCTCTCAAGTCACAGGAAGAACATGTTCATCACTGCCCAGGTTACAACTGCACATTTACCAGTCATAGCTCGTGCCTCCATACCTTCCAAATGACTGAGCACACTTCAAACAGACACCCCAGTAAACGGCGGCAGTAACTCTGGCTGCCAACTTTAGGGCAGTAGTAAATATGGATATATGCTGGAACACTCTGTGTTAGTCCCCGGGCGGCCCGGCTGGGGGAAGGTCGCCCAGGTACCCTCCCGGGGGGCCCGGGCTGCGCAGGGCCCGGGCAGGGTCCCGGGCGATCCCAGCACATAATATTGAAAACTTTTCAAAAAAATAGAAAACAAAGAAAATTAAAAAAACTACGAAAAAAAAAAAAATGTTGTGCGACATTGCAATACAAACAACTTTTGGCTGTGGGCCACCTCGAAATTCCCCGGGCGGCCCGGCTGGGGGAAGGTCGCCCAGGTACCCTCCCGGGGGGCCCGGGCTGCGCAGGGCCCGGGCAGGGTCCCGGGCGATCCCAGCGCATAATATTGAAAACTTTTCAAAAAATTAGAAAACAAAGAAAATAAAAAAAACTCCGAAAAAAAAAATAATGCTGTGCAACATTGCAATACAAACAACTTTTGGCTGTGGGCCACCTCGAAATTCCTTGTTAATTTTAAGACAAAAATAAATGAGAAAACATGAATCCAAATTTACCCTTTTAACCCCTTTAGTCAATGTTTATACCCCCCACCCCCCCCTGGATGACCAATCACTGAAACCGGAGTTAAGACCAGATTCTGACTGCTTCGGCCAAGCGCAGTCCTGTCCTGAAGTCTTTTTTTGGGGGAGGTGGGTGGGGGGATCCTTCCTTCTTTTTTGACCCGTCTGGTTTTACCGGGCGACCCCCGCTCTGCCCAACTGACCCGGGCGTGCCTGGCCGGGTGTGTCGGGCCGGGCGACGAGCAAACATAGGGACCACTCGCAATTCTTTTTTTTTTTGGTGGGGACCCTTCTTCGATTTATGCATGTCATCCTTGCCCACAGGAACACTCACAATTCTAACTAGATGACCTGTTGCAGCTTCGCTCGCAAAAACAAATATGATGGGTGATGCACTCATGGTGTAGGCAACTGACCAATGCAATCTCCCTCTCTCTCTCTCTCTCTCTCTCTCTCTCTCTCTCTCTCTCTCTCTCTCTCTCTCTCTCTCTCTCCCACTCCCGCATGCACGGCAGCTGATCTTTCGGGAGCCTCTCTTGCAATCAGACTCGCATTCATTCACACTTCACACACATGCAAACAGCTTGCGCAGCAAACTGGCGTCAAGCGCCCCCTCAGAACTCAGAGATATAGTACCAAGAACTCAGTTCAGATACAAGTTCACTTCCACTGGCTATGACGCCACATCGCCTGTGCAACTCTCTGTTCGTCACTCACTCAACACTGCTGTTCGCACACAAGATCACCCTGGATACCCCACACACAACACACTCTGTACACTCACACACACCCGCACGCATCTACAGCTATGGTGGCTATGGCAGCTGCTACCCTATCGCTATCGCTAAGCTTCTCTCGCCCACTTCGTCCTCGAGCTCACTGCAGACCACCTCGCACAAGTCACTATGGCAGCGCTTCCGCATGGCTCACGCAGGAATGAATGAATGGCTGGTCGCTGCCTCTCAATTTATACTTCTGTAGCTCGTTGGTCTGGCCCTTTCCCATGCCCGTGGTGCACACAGTCCCGTATGGTACTTGCTTGACTAGACTAGGACTGACTGGGACTGGGACTGCTGACTCAGCAAGGGTAGACTCCACCACTTGCCCACTTGCCTCAGTCTAAACGTGGGCAACTTCGAAGGGCCACTGCTAGGACCTTCCGGAAGGCCGCGGACTTGACCTTTCGATACTGTAGCAGATACGACCTTGACCCTTCTGGACTGTAGCAGCTACGACCTTGACCTTTCGGAAGCTCTACAGCTACGACTTCTAGAACTCCCTAAGACTTAGAATATCCATTAAATTAACTCCTGAAAAGAAATAAGTTTGTATTAAAATAACATTTTATTATATGAATTAAGAGAGAATAGAAAAGAATTCAATTAAATAATAAAGACCTTGACAGGCCTACAGATCGAACCCCTACCACTACACAGACCTACGACAGACAACAATAGCTGTCAAAACACAGGTCACGGGTTCAGACACTCGGGGTTGAAACAGATACTGTACACAGGTAAGGTGAGAACTAGGGATCGAGCCCTGGGATCTGCATTCGCTGCTGCTAAAAGGTGAAACCGTTTCACTCTATCTCCCTTCCCTCCCCTCTCTCTCTCACATAAGACTGCCTCCCTCTCTCTCTCTCTCTCTCTCTCTCTCTCTCTCTCTCTCTCTCTCTCTCT